TATCGGCTCTGCAGCATTTTCATGGTCATCAAAGAAGCAACAAACGGTAGCTCTTTCAACATGTGAAGCAGAATACATAGCCGCAACAGCGTGCACTTGCCAAGCAATGTGGTTAAAGAATATTTTGAACGAGCTAAATTTGGCATAAGAAGAACCGATTAAAATTTATGTCGACAACAAGTCTACAATTTCTCTTGCCAAGAATCCAGTCTCTCATAGCCGAAGCAAGCATATTGATACAAAATATCACTTTATACGAGAGCAGGTGAAGAAAAAAAATGTGGAGCTAATTTACTGTAGAACTGAAGATCAAATAGCAGACATTTTCACAAAGCCATTGAGAGTAGATATATTCAATCGACTCAAAGAAAAGCTTGGAATGGAAAGTCGAGTTTGAGGGGGAGTGTTAGAAGTCAAACTCTTGGAATTGTGTAGAAGTTCAACGTGGCAAATGAAGATAGATTCTCAAGTAAACAAAACAAAGTGGAAATGCTTGGCAGTACACTAAACCACACATGCATATGTCGTCAAAGATTTTTCTTTAATTGTTTGAATTCACACGGCAACATGTCAAGCAAGAATTAAGGAGAGAAGTTGAGAAGCATCCAGAGGTCCTCAAATAAGTCAGTTATACAACCTATATATATGTGTGCTTAGCCTTTAGTTGGTGTGAGGTAGTGAGCGTGAATAAAAAAGTGAGTGAGCGTAAATACGATTGAGGAGTGAAAAAATAAAGAGATTTGATAGATATATTGTGAAGCTTAGCAAAGCTTTAAATATATTGGTGAGTTTGTAAACTAGCAGCAGCTAGTATTGCAGTATTGTAATATTGAGTGTCGTTGTAACATATTTTGTTTCGTATAAATAAAAATTTCTGAGTGTTATAAATTATCGTGAGCCCATCTACGCTTCCAACAATTTTCAGGCGGTATATAGATCATTTGTAATAATTTCACCTCTATTGAAGTCCTGGCTACTCATCCTCAATTTGTTCTCATGGAAATCTCTGATATCCACGGCTTCCTCCTTTTTTGGTTACTATCGTTTACGGTAGCTATGAAAGGTACAAGCGTAAGGCTCTTTGAAGGGATATCAATGCTACTCAAATTACAAATGGGATCCCCTGTCTCTTAAGTGGAGACTTTAACACTACCCTCTCTAGCTCGAACAAGGCAGGAGGTAACCATCACGGAGCGGGATGCAAGTTTTTTTAGGAATTCATCCACCAACATAATCTTTTTGACCTCGGATTCTAAAGCCCTCAATTCGCCTGGAGGCGTGGAGGATTTTTGAACGCTTGGAGAGAGTGATTGTCAATGATCACTGGAATAATATAGCTCATTCGACGATGGTGTTCCATCTCCGCCTAAAATCGGATCATTGCCCTATATTCCTTCGTACTTCTAGTGTTGCTAATAGGTTTGCGCCAAGACCGTTTCAATTTTTTACAAGTTAGACTAAACATCATAACTTTAGCTCTCTTGTTAAAGAGAACGACAATTGAGGGGAATATGCAAACCGCTATCAATGAGTTCACTGAGGCTCTTAGGAACTAGAACAAGAATGTTTTTTTTACCATATCATTTAGGAAAAGAAGAATCTTAAAATACAAATCTCCTCTGTTCAAACAGTATGGATAGAAATGCAAGCTTGAATCTTTAGGATATGACACTAGATTTGCGCACTAAAATGAAGGAAATTTTTGATCAGGAAGAAATGCTTGGGAAACAGAAATCTCGAAGCACTTGGTTAACCGAGGGCAACCGTAATACGAAATTCTTCTATAGTCAAACACTTTCTCGAAGAAAATCTAACCGTATTTAAGCTCTTCGCATCAGCAGTGGGGAGTGGTGTTATGATGAGGATATCCTCAAGAGAGAGGCTTCTATGTTCATCGAGTCTTTTTACGATGAGGAAGGAAGAAGCTCGGACCATTTTCCTATTTGGAATGCCTTCCCAAAACTCCTAAAGATGAACATCCGAATGCTTGAAGCCAGTGTGACGAATGAAGAAATTAAACGTGCGGTTTTTTATACGAGTCACTCAAGTCTTCAGGAATTGACGATTTAAATACTCTTTTTCATAACCAGTGGAACACGGTGGGCAACTCGATTTGTAATTGGGTAAGAGCATTTTCGATGGCATACCTATAGATCTGAACCTTAATAAAACCATTTTGGTCCTGATTCCTAAAGTGGATAGCCTTGAATCCTTCGCTGATTTTAGACCGACTAGTTTGTGCACCGTCTTGTACAAACTAGTGATGAAAGTCAGTCTCCAGGTTTAATTTTTTTTTATAAAAATTATTGCGTCTAACCAAGCTGTTTCATTGCATGTCGTAATATCACGGATAATATCATGGTGGTGCAAGAAGTCATTCATTCCATGAGAAAGAAGAAGGGGAAAACTAAATGAATGACCTCAAAAGTAGATCTCGAGAAGGCTTATGACAGAGTCGGTTGAGGATTTTTTTTATTCCATTAGATATATGAGATGCCCAGAAAATATTCATCGCATCAATATGAGTTCACTCACGACTTCATCTTTTCACAATCTATGGAACAACTGTCTCACGAATGCTTTCAAGCCCACTAAAGGTTAAATTCAACTGCTATCCCAGCCTCATACATACAGTCGACTGTTAAATTTGGATAGGTTGAGCTAAGCGAAGGTTCTTTCACTGCTTTTGTAGTGTTTCCATTGTAACAAAATATATATATATATATATATATATAATGTCAGATATACGTTGATTATTAATTAATTAATAATTTTTATTTAATATAAGTTATTTTGAAAAAAATAATATTAAAGACTAAAATTCTCTCTAAAAAAAGAATATGAACCAAAATTATTATTCGAATTAATGTTAAAGGTTAATTTTAACTTCCTTTATTTTATAAATTCCATCATGAGCTTTTGGGGTAGTTCTGTTGTACGATAATTTAATTTAAGACTAAGGAATGTGCGCAACAAAAAATGTTACATAAAACATAATATTTACGGTTGGACGCAATCTAATTTTTTTTTTACTTTTTCTAACATTTTCAGTTGAATCGAAAATGTTATGAAGAAAATAATATTTTTTTGTTGTTAATCGAAAATGTTACGAAGAATGTAACATTTTCGGTTTAATCGAAAGTTTTAAGAAAAAATTAACGTTTTAGGTTGCTCTCAACTGAAAATATTATATTTTTCATAATATTTTTTGTTGAGTTTATTCTCTGTCGCTTCTTAATCTTAAATTAGGATGTTGTTCCTTGATCTGTGCAGAGTATTTGTATTTCTAATTGGATAAGTTTATCTTCATTGTCGAACCAGGAGTACCTTGGTTCAAAGTCAACGGTATATATGATCAAGTGGACTTGTAGCCATAGGTTTAACCATGGTTGAACTTTATTATTGACTCACTTCATTAAATGAAGTACCCTAGCTTAGCGTATCTAGACATGAGGTTATGGTTTTGTATATTGACGGTTATAGAAATAAAATTTAGGGTTATCACACGTGTATTAACATTATAAATTTTATGTAAATTGATATAAATTTATTACAGGTAGATATAATCAATAAATTGATAATTAAGAAAAAAAATTAAATTTCAAAGTGAATATAATTAATTAACAAATACCAGAAGGAAAATAAAACAAAGATAAACCCTAAAAGAAAACCTGAGAAAGAAAGCTGGATTCACATTTGTTAGTGGACGTAAAAAGGAGGCTTCAAAGCACAAAATCCAGACATCTGAAATTTATATTCCATTATCATATTCATAGATAGATAGAAAGTGGATTGTCGAACCCAGAAGGTATTTTCTCTTCCCTTTTTTTCCGTTTCTCCATCTTTTTCTCCCCCCCCCCGGAAAACTGCTCTCTTCCCCTTTTTTTCTTATCTGAAAAGCTCCCCCCTTTTCTTTTGTTTCGGATCTCTCCTCCCCCATTTTCGAACTGATCCCCTTTCTTTTTTATGATTGCTGCTTTTCGTGCTGAGTGAGAAAACCACACTAGAGTTGTTGGGCTAGGTAGAGGGGCATGGTTTGGTTGGTAGGGGAATGGGGGTCCCCATTTTCCCGGATCAATTGTTTGGGTTTATTTATTTATTTACTTACGGATTGATTGATTTTTTTTTGGTTTGGTGAAACAGGGGTTTCGGTCGAGCTGAGGTGACCGGCGACGATGGGAGTGACTCCCCGGCAGTGGCTGGTGAAGAGAGTCACCACCTAGGGTTCAGAAATCCTAATTATTTTAGGTTAATTGGGCCCTACTGGTTGGTCTTCAGGTCGTTGGGCCTACTGTGGGACCTTTTTGTAATTGGGCTCATTGTAATGTCCTGTAAAAATAAAGAAATTAAATAATATTAATATTTAATATTAAAAAAGACAAAAACAGGTATCTTCACGCAGGTCAAAAATATATTAACCCTTATGTTTACCACATTAATAAGAGAGACCACGTCAATAAACCGAACACAATAAAAAATTATATATATTGAAACGTGTTTGAAGCTACAAAAATCAGAAGATAAATGGTTAATAGGTCACGCCATTCAAATTTCAAAATGCTTTCTTGTTCTTGACCTTGAAAATCAAAATAGTAAACTTCCTATTTCATCATCCATTTAAACTTAGTTTATATTTTGGTGACTCAACTATATTTTTTAAAAATTATTTAATGGTTATGTTTTAGTCATTTATTGTTAAAAAACATTAGTGATACTGACACATAACTAAAAGATAATGTCATATTAATATTAAAAAAAATTAAAAATATCACATCAACGTCGAAGTTAATTTTTTTAATAGAGACGAATCAAAATATAACATTAGGTATGATTTAGAAGAAAATAATAGTTGAATGACTATAGGGAAAATAAGTAATAGGTGAGTGACTTAATATATTTTTACTCAAATCAAAATTTTGTTTTAGTCCTTTAAATACCTCATTTCCCTCCGTCTTTCTCCATCGTTCCTTTTTAGTTTCTTCAATAATGCAGCAGAGTTGCTCATCGTCGGCCAAGAACTTATATCGTAAACTGGTTAGAATTCCACCGCCAACCCCAAACAAGGCGGCGACCGCAATGACTAAACCAGTTTGCGACATCTTTATCAACCACCGAGGGATCGATACGAAAAGAACCATTGCCGGTTTACTCCATGATCATTTGTTCAGGTTGGGTTTAAGGCCTTTCTTGGACAGTCGGAGTATGAATCCCGGTGAACGGTTGTTCGGGAAAATAAATCCAGCTATCCGGAGCTGTAAACTCGGCGTGACAATATTTTCTCCCAATTATTGCGATTCATACTTTTGCATGCAAGAGCTTGCCCTTTTGATGGAGAATAAAAAAAGGGTCATCCCAATATTTTGCGACGTGAAACCTTCTCAGCTTCAGGTTATGGATTATGGGATACGCTCGGCTAAGCAATTGGAAAGGTTTAACTTCGCTCTCGAGGACGCGAAGTACACCGTCGGACTTGCATTCGACACTTCGAAAGGGTATTTGTATTTCTATGATAATTTGTTTTGCCATAAAATTTTTTATAAATTTGTTCCTGATATCAACTACGAACTACGGAATAACTCGATTTTTGGGTATGTAGGGACTGGCCGGAGTTCTTGAACTCTGCAACTGAAGCTGTGATTAAGAACTTGGTGGAGTTGGATGCTCAGAAGTCAAGCAAGAAGAGACCATATATTGTGCATGGTCGTGAATATATGTATATGAAGATTTAGATACTCATTTATTAAGGCATAACCCCATTTCTTAAGGGAGATTTCCAAATTAAGTTGCAAAATTATTCATCTTTGTTTGGAGATCTCCCATGATTGACAATAAGAAAAACGATAGGTGAAATTCAAGAACCTTGTTGTAACATACATTTAGGATAAAAAACGATATTCTTTTGTAATGTGTTCATGATTCAATAAATGTGCATATTTTTTTAATGTACATATTGCTTTAGGACTTGAAGACAATGGAAGAAGAGGCCGAAGTTTCAAGGATGAATCTGGGAAATATCCAGGGGGAAAAAAAGAAAAGAAAACTGAAGGTAATTTTAATATTTGAAAATTTCGCGGACGTTGCATCGGTCGGTTGTCGCACCATTGTGAAAGTTTTGGTGAGCTTCGGTCGAGTGATGTAGGCGAGAATATGTGAATATTATATGTATGACGCGTATAAATATGGGTGTATGATGCCGTTGACGACGTATATAAAACTATTTGTTAAAAATTAGGTTAAAATACACAAATGGTCTCTGACTGTAAGATGTTATTTTGTTGAGTTTATCGACTATTAAAAGTTAGAAAATAACCTATTGATTATAGGGCATAATTTTGTTGAGACCCCTTAAAAGTTATAAAATAGTCATATGACTATTTATATGTTCCAAACATATCTTTTTCTGTTAAAAAATTGATTTTGTCTGAGTTGAACGTTAACCTGTTAAATGAGATATGATAAAATCATATTTTAATGATGTATATTGGTATCATCGTTACTTTCAAACACTAACTCGATGACATAATATTTCAAGCGCTGACTCGATAACTTAATATAAATAGAGATTTGATCCAAAAAATACAACTCAAACAATTATAGGATTATATTTTATCATATCCAAGTGAGCATGTTAATGACCAACTCAGACGACCATCAATTTTTTAACGGAAAAGGACGAATTTGAAACATATGATAGTCAGATAGTTATTTTATACCTTTTAATAGTTGGAGGACTCAATAAAGCAACGTTATAGTCAGAGAATCATTTATAACTTTCAATAGTCGGGAGACTCAACAAAGCAATACTCTATAGTCAAGGGATAATTGTGTACTTTGTCCTAAAAACTAACAATATGATTTCAGATTGAAAGTCAAGTGAGGATATATATAAGCGGCTTAATTAAGTGGTTGCTTAATTGAAAAGTGCGTGTATGGCTCAACTACCGGACCTCATGTCATCGTGCGATTCTACTGAAAATCTGAAGCTATTATGTTATATATATATATAATGGATTTTTGTAGGGACCATAACAAGTAGATGATGTGAAAGCTCTTTTTAAATGGAAGAGATTTTGGTTTCCCATAAAGAAATAATATAACGGTTATATATTTTTTTCTAAAAATTCAAATAAACTCTTAAATTAAAAATAATAATTTAATCTTCGAATTTATTAAAAAAATTGATTAAAATAAAATTGATGTATGAATACCTTTAAACTCAATATTCAATAATAATATCTTAATTAGAATGGAGACGGTTGGAGTAAAATTTAGATTATTTTATAAACCCTGGATACTGTACCTAACTTACAAGGTCAATCAATATTTCAAGATTTATAGGAGCTTGAGAAACCAACTTGTTCTAAAAACACATACACTAAACCACTAGCAGTGTCAAGTTACAAGACAACGAGTAACTTAAACAAAGACATGATATGATGATAGTTCATTCCATAATAAGCAATTTTCTATTATTGAATTGAAAACTTTTTTGGGAAAGTTGCAAAGAATGTTAAAACGATTCTTCGTCTTCTTCATTAAAGGTTTTATTCTCTTTCATTTTCATTCTTTTGGGTTTGAGTTTCAGGACACAAGATTCAGGGAAAAGGGCAAGCTAGCCACCTAATGCGGTGCACGAAATCATTTCTTTTTTTCTTTTTTTTGCTGATTTCGCTCCTGGGTTTTTTTTCTTTTATCTTTTTTATTGTTCTCGTTTGGATATTCTTTTTAATTTTTTTTTACTAAGATTTATCCAATGTCAATCATTGTTCCGTTGAAGGTTTTCTTCTTCGTTTTTTTTTTTTAATTTCTGATCGACGCTTCAGGTGGTCATGCCTGCAAGGTGCTGTGGTTTGACACCAATGCTTTTTGGTTCCAAATCAATCAAAATTGTCCCGGTAAATATTTTCAGTTTTCTCTCTTGGATTATATATATACATACATATATTGTTCTTGTTGTTGTTCATTCTGCAGAAATCAAGGGTTGTTATTAAAATCTTAGAATTCTGTCTCTAACCCAGCATTGTTGGCAATGCGAGAAACAAATTTACGTGTTAAAATGCCATTTTAAATGCATTTTCCGACACCCTTTTCATATTTTTTTTAGAGTTTTTTTAATGATTTTGGTAAGGTTAAATTTCTATAAAATTTCCATTCTCTAATTTTTTTTTTTTTGCTTTTGTTGAACGATTGCACGGGTCATTCCAAAGTGGACCCTGCAAATTTGCAGAACCTTAATTTGTATGGATCGTGTTGTATTCACATGTCTGAGGCATGTTTGATTAAAATCCTGATGTTATATGATGCATTAATGTCTGTTAATTATTTCTTTTTTTGTTAATAATTCTCAATAAAATTTGGATCTTATATGTAAAATATACAGTGATGAACTGAGAAGATAAAAGTGACCCTTAAAAATTTTAAAATTTTTGGTATTTTCTATTAATAATATGTTTTTTTATCCGTCAAAGTCATGCAAGAGTCAAAAGAGAAGGAAGGGCTCCGAGCAGGACAATTCACCTCCATTACAAGGCAATTTCGTTCTGATGGTGGAGCTTAGGAAGAAAATCACGACATTTAGAGACATAGTTGATCTACCACCTTGTACTACCTCTTTATCCATAGATAAGGTATTTTAAGAAAAATGAAAAGTGGAAACAATATAATCCGAAAAATCTTTAATCTTCCTATTTGTCTTGGTTTCTGCAGATGATCATAGGGACACTGCAAGATCTCCATAAATACTACCCTGAAAGCATACGTCGGTTCAGTAGATCGAAATTAAAAAGATTACCCCTTGAAGAGGTTTGAAACTTTTGCATAAAACCATCCTCTTTTTTTTTTATAGATTGATCCCAATGCTAATAATCTACTTGCAATTGCCTATGGACAGATGCTGATCTGCTTTTGCACCGCATTACAAGATCTTTCAGACGTATCGAATACAACCGGTGAAGGGATAGGCAAATGCAAAGTTGATATAAATGACAACGAAGAGCCCAAAAGTGTTGAAAAATTAGGTATGAAGTAAATTTTCTCAGAATATTTATATTTGTTTGAATCTCATAAACTGCGGGATTGAATGTTTTTGAAGAACGGAACAACTTGCATGAACTTTTGGGTACATTTCGATCGTTTGTGCCATCCAGTATGGAAAACGAGCCTAGTTGCCTTTCTGAACTTGCTTGTTCTCGCTTGAAATGTGTTATATCCCTAGAGATAATCTTTAGAAGCTTTCAGTTCTCCGATCAAATCAGATTCACCCAAGTCAGAGGCTCTTCATTAGTCGAGGTATTCAAATAAATCTCTCTATCCACCAGAATCTTCAATTAACTTATATTTTTATTATACGGATTTCTAGTCAACTACAATGAATAGATAAGACTTCTAACAGATTACGATAAGACTTCCTACATAATGTTGTGATAGTCGCAACATTACTCACAGTGATAGTTACATGTATGATTCTCAAACTTGAGATCATTATTATTTCAACATTATGAGTCATATGTTTTGATACAATCAAATGTGTGTCATAACTAGTTATTCTATAAAGTCTGATGTAGAATATCACGATTTATGTAGTGAGATATGATTGATCAACACAAGATTTGTCCATCCTACATAATGGGAGAAATATTGTATGCCTCTTGATCGAGTGAGACTAAAAAATGTACGACCATGCTTCAATAAATTAATACGAGTATCATAATTATTTATTTATAAAGTACTCAAGATATCAAGAAAATATTAAATATACAAGTGTGACTTATCCATGACTTGTGTTCAATCTAGATATTGAGGAACTTGGTACATAAAAGTTAATCACATAAAGTTTATTTCGAACCATGATTTCTTGTAACTTAGGGGGAAATAATGCATTGCTAGATGTTGGGGGAATATTCTCAGGATATGCAAGATGCTCCCTATATTTTGGAGAGTTTAGTTGAAACTGGGATGAGGAGCATTCTGCTGTGGTAATCAACCTTCATGGATATTATCAAATAATTCCATGTTGAGCCATGTTTGTTTTTACTCAGCCATTTCAGATTATAGGTTTTTATTTCCTGAATCTCTCTAGTGAAAAAGAAAGTTGTTGAGCCGGTTGATTCAACTTTCAGCTGCATCTATTGTTGCATTGTTGCATACATTCTCCATTCTCGAACCCTTGTTACTGCTCTGAGGTTTACATTAATGTTTTTTTGTTGCACATCTGATGCTGCATATGTGTATATTGATTAAATTAGCAATGTTAATCATCTTAGGTCCTTGATCTCATAAAAAATTGCAGTTTACTTGACACATTTTCAGTCCCCTGCATGACCCCCTGCTCCTGTTCATTCCTTTCTCTCCTACCTGTGCTATATCTCATCGTATTCCACAAACAAGGGCATGACTGCTGTCGTGTTATTGTAGATGAAGTATTTGTTAAGTTTTCAATTGATAGTAGAATTTGAGCCTCTTTTTATACTGAATTTCTGAAAACTGGATTCAAAGATCCTTGCTATGAATTACTTCATTTACTTCGTTGATGGATTATGCCATTGTACAGGTTCGATTACATCTTCTCACTGCTGTGATGAAGTGCATTTTAAAAGGCCTCCTGAGACCCAAAGTGCATTGGGAGCTGCATTGGCAGCAGGAATCGGTGATTTCACCAGGTAAGAGTTTGTTTTGTCTTCTTTCCCCCAGTCTTATATCAATAGTACTGTTTTAGTTGTCAAGTTTTTTCTGGAAACGAGAATTGAACCTCCAGCTTGACTGCAGGATGTTCATGACGGAGCGCTATTCTATATATGATTTTATGGTATAATGTGTCTGTGGCTGAACGTGTGGTGAACCCTCCAAAGCAAGCTGTTTCTGTATTTGCAGATACTCAAAGCAGTGAAATTAACGATCGGATATTTGATGAATTTAACAGTTTATCTGTTTTATACCAGAAGGTATGTACTAGGTAGCCTCTTCCGACTTTATGTCATAGACTGTTTGGTACTTTAGACCATTCTAAAGTTGTTTTGTACTTTTGTTGGGCTGTTAAAGCATCCAGTCTGCATATTAAAGGGAAAAATGTAAGGCATGTATCAGCAAGAGTTTGCCTTTGATTCAAGGTGGACCAAAATGCTTGCAAGGAAACGCTATTCAAACATTGTGACTAAAAACTACTTGGCACTGACGACCAATCTGGATATAAAACTATTAGATACCTAAATCTAGTTATTTGGGACATTACACGATTTAACACTCCCCTTGACATGTAGACTTGATAGAACAATAAAGAAAATCTGTTCTTAGAAACCACTAGACGTCTAGACCTAAATGTTTAAGCAATTAAACGAGGCTCCCAAAAGAAGTCTTATTTACTCATTTACAAGCCATTACGTTTGAAATTAAGGGTAATGAGTTTTTCCTTCTGTTGGTGAAAGGTGCATTTTTAAACTAGGAAAGGTCTTACCTAACAAAGTACTTGCATCTCTTAAGTCATTCCTCCCTTTGTCAAATCCTTATCCTGCATCATTTTTGTATCTAACAATCCATGGGAGACCCACCAACAACCCCCATGGAATGGGCTTGTAGTTTTTCTGTTACCAAACAACTTGCAACAACTTTGTTTTGTGTACTGTTGAGAGCTTGTAGTTGGTTTCTTTGCTGTATTCAAGGCATTGCCCCTCTCCTATCTTTCTTTTAGGTTTACACAAATTTTCCATTATGCTATTAAACAGTTTAACGTACTGCACGCATTCTGCATTTCTTTTAGGAATCCGGGTTCTTTGATTGTGTTAGCCAAATCATGAGAGAACTGAGGTTAACTGATATTTATAAGATAAAATAACCTCAGTGACAAAAAATGCCTTATAATATACTATTTTAACCAAATTTTTTTTGATTTGCCAAAATGACCAACTAAATCGCAATGCGATCGATAATTCGCAACGCGATCTCCGGTATCGCAAATCAGTTTTCAGATTCGCAACGTGATTCTGACTATCGCATTGCGATTTCCAAATTCGCGTTGCGACTTTCCTAATTCGCAATGCGAATACGTAAATCGCAATGCGAATACGTAAATCGCAATGCGAATACGTATATCGCAATGCGAATACGTAAATCGCAACGCGAATCTGACTATCGCAATGCGATTTACATAGCGCCATTCGTATCCAACGCGTATTTTTTTTTCAAATTCCAAACACGAATATATTAATATATCGGAACACTGAACCGTCCACAGTATATCTCGTAATCGTAACTCATAACCTAAAACCCTAAATCACAACTCAGTCTCATCTCCATCTCTCACTCTCTAAGGCGACATCCGTCCCCATCTCCGACGAAATCAGTCCCCATCTCCGACGATATCAGTCTCCATCTCCGGCGAAATCATTCACGGTCAGAAATGGAAAATCAACCAAATCAACCACCGAGGGTTATTTTTTTAATTATTTTTATTTTGAAAATTTTGCATTATTATTAGGTTTTTCATATTAAAATTGATGATAAGTTTACTGGTGTTTTCAATAATAGATTAACCATTTCACTTAGATTGCTTATTATATTCATTCGATTGCTGTCAATACTGCTAAACTGTTTAGTCTTTAACCCTGTGAAGTTAGTAGTTGTCTTTATTTTATCTTTTGGTTGAAGTAATGCAATCCATTCAAGTTTCTTTCAATTTTAATATTTGAAACCGAGAATGACTATCACAATGCGATTTTGTCGTTGCGATTTTCATTTCGCGTTGCGATAGTTATTTTCGTGTTGCGATTTTCATTTTTTGTGTTGCGATTTTAAGTTTCAGAAACTATTCTTCTTCTGCAAATTGAAACTTGAATGAATTGCATTACTTCAACCAAAAAACAAAGACAAATACTAAATTCACAGTGTTACAAATTAAGTTTGAAGATGTTTATGTTCTTGTTATATCTTCACAGTGTAGTTTTTGGTATATCTAACTTGGTATGTTTATTGTTTTTGTAGAAATTTATTCGGCTCAATTGACCTTAAGAAATAAAGTAAGCCTGGCCAAAACAATTGCGTCGAAGCTTTCACCTGCACAAAGAAAATATTTGAGGATACTTGCTTCGGGCCATGGCTGAAAGTACAATATCCGGGTGGAGATGCTATGTTAACCCATCTATTTCTTCAAACCATAACTAGCGATCTACCAGAGGCTATACAACGTCGTGATGAAGAGATATGGTTTGATTTTCCACCGGCGTATACGTATTTTGGGCGGGAGGAGTTTTTCTTAATCACCGGTCTACGCTTCGGACATGATGATGTAGATTGGTACACTAAACATATTACCCGCCTATCATGGTTTTCTCGGGTTTTTCCTGAGCTGTCAACGGAGAAGTCGAATTTACACGTGGAAAACTTGACGAGATTATTGAATAAGAATGATGGTTTTACTCGAATGGATGACGTCGATGTTGTCCGAGTATGCATTCTAATACTTTTGCAAGCTGGCTTTTTAGGCAGAGAGGCCCGACAACCTATTCCTAATGATCTAATTAAATTGGTAGATGACCTAAATGCATGGAACCTGTTTCCGTGGGGTTCGTATCTATGGAAAGCTACATGGAATAAGTTGTCGTCTTCCTTTGATGATCGGAAAAGTTTGCGTGGCGATGGTTCAAATACACTTTGTCAGGCTTTTTTTGGGCTTTTAAGGTAATAATTTTATATAATGTTTCCAAATTATAATTAATTTTAACAATTACTAATGTTTGTTATTATATTGTTTGTAGATTTGGATATTTGAGGCCTTTCCCGCCATGCAGACATATGCATTAAAAACTTCTAATGATATTCCTAGGGCTATTTCCTGGAAGAGAAAACGATCCTTGCAGCAATGGGAAGATTTACTATCGTATACTTCAATAAATAATGTAAGTTAACACAAATACTACCATATGTTTATAAACAAGTTATTACTAGTACACGTTTAACTTTGTTTGAGCTTTTATATTGTTAGGAGGCCAACACTCCATTACAGAGGCTGACACCCACGGAAGTTGAGCTTGCCACTGATTGGTGGCAAGCTAGTAAGTGTTTTTTTGATGGCACGGATGATGAGCAGCCACCACTTCGAGAGCCATCACCTCACCCAGAGCCATCACCTGATCGACCCGAATATACACCTCCACAACGAGAGTCATCACCTATTATGTCACATCATTGAGCCTCTTCTCCACCATCACCTCATGATAGGCGACCGGCAAAGATGTCACGACGTTTATATCCCTATTCTCCACCTCCACCTCCACCTCCACCTCCACGGGATGAGTTAGGAGAGTTACGTAATGAGGTCAATGCCTTGCGTGAGGAGGTCGATACTTTACGCGATGACAATGGTGCATGGCATATTGAGGTGTCTACTTTACGTGGTGATGTAGCAGTTCTACGTGAGATTGTAGCATCGTTGCAGAACGAGGTTCATACTACGCAATGAGGTAAGTTTAATATTTTTTATATTTAACTTGATGATAAATTTACTCGTAATTTCACTTAGATTGCTTAATAAATTCATTCGGTTGCTGCCAATACTGTTTAACTATTTATTCTTTAACCCTGTGAAGTTAGTATTTGTTTTTGGTTGTCTTTGGTGAAGTAATGCAATCATTCAAGTTTCAATTTGCAGAAGAAGAATAGTTTACTATCGCAATGCGAAAAATGACTATCGCAACGCGAAAATGACTATCGCAATGCGAAAATGACTATCGCAATGCGAATTTGACTATCGCAACGAAAGAATCGCAATGCAAATGAAAATCGTATTGCGATTATCTCGTTACGATAGTCAAATTCGCATTGCGATAGTCATTTTCGCGTTGCAATTTTAAGTTTCAGATTCTATTTTCTTCTGCAAATGAAACTTAAATGAATTGCATTACTTCAACCAAAGACAAATACTAACTTCACAGTGTTGAAAATTGAAGTTTCAAGAATAAAACTACTCTTTATGTTGTCATTGAACCTGCACTAAACCTTATGTTGTCCTTTTAAATGTATATAGTTCTTACTTCTGGAATGTTATATGATGCATTTTGTGAACAATGATATAATAATGAATTGGGTGAATACCGTGTAAGTTTGAAATATATGTCTTATTTTCATGTTTAATATCATGTCTGTTTATTTACTGATTTATGTATTAATTTATTTTTAGCGGCCCGCTAAGGTGGATGCTCTACGTCGGGTTTTTCTGCCAAAAACGGAGTTCACGCATCAGACGGCGTGCACGTGCATTACGTCTCCGTTCACCCCAATAGTGCGAAGAATCCGTAAGAAAAAGCCCCGATCACCTGTCATCGTTCAAGAGGCCTCCCCTATCGTTCAAGAGGCCCCTATCATCCCTCAAGAGTCCCCTCCCACCGTTCAAGAGGCCACTGTCATCGTGAAGAGGTTCCTCCTAACATGCTAGAGCCTGATTCACACGGCGTAATATATCGAATTATTGAGAAGCCCCCTCACGTGCAGACAGATGGATGACTGTTGGCTTTCGTATAAGTTACGGCCAGTACCATTCCGGCAGATGAAGTGGAGAGGAGAAACTACCGGAAACAATTCTGGATAATACCCTTTGGGCTAACCGCAGTTGATTTTATCTACATGAGCGGAGCAAGGGTGTTACGCTGACATATATCAAACTCAACGATGATATGCATTTGTTGATTGAACGGTCTTGGGGGTATTATTAGGGGTTGAAGACAACGGCTATTTCGATGGGGGGGGTAAGTCTATATTTCTTCTTATTCAGTTTGATTTTTTTTTTTAAATTTATGTAATTCACTAATATTGTCTTTTTTTGTAAAACAGCATATTGATTCATGGGGACACGTCTTCTAATTGTAAGGAAATTGAAGAAAATATAAGAAAAACGTGATATACAATTATGTCGACATCTTTTCACGACAGGAATCATATGTGTTGGCTAATGGACAAGCTAAACTTTATCCTGCATGGTGGGAGGTCGATAAGGTTAGTATTTATTTGTTTAAATATTTTAAAGGTGTTCATAAATAAGTGCGCAATTTGAATTATTACATTTCGATACAGGTGTTTATCCTTTTGGAATGTACTCATTGGCTTATCGTCGAGCTTCAGCTCCCATCCCTAAAGACAATAATAATGACATGATAAATTACATATCATTCTGATTTGAGAGATATTATTAAGGGATGGAGCTCTTATTTGGCTAAATTCTTGGATGCAACTAATTATTGGACTAATTCTGGAAACAAGAAGCCAAAGAAGTTCAATGTTACAGTTATCAAAGACGACCGCGCGCCACAACAAACGAAGGAAGCCAGAGGGGATTATGGTCCTCTCGTATGCATGTGCTTGGAGCATTTGACGACAGGAAGTACACAGTTTCTACCTCCCACTGATAGAGACAGAGGTGCAGTAGACTTGTGGTTTCGGCATTTTATGGCTAGAACGATATATGCGAGAGTGTTGTTGATTCATGTTGGGTTTCTGCAGGTTAATCCTGAAGTGAGCTGCGTGAATGGATGTATGGGTGCAAAAGTTGATTCAATAATTGATGAAGAATAATTATTATTATTTTTTTGATTGTTTAATTGATTTGTAAAAGATGATTTGTAAATGTTGATTTGTTTAATTGATGTGTACATAATTATTATTGTGCTTGTTTAATTGAAATGTAATAGTTGATTTGTTGATATCATCTGCATATGTTGAATACAAAACAGACTATCGCAAGCGGAAATGACTATCGCAACGAGAGAATCGCAATGCGAAATGAAAAATCGCAACGAGAGAATCGCAATGCGAAAATGAAATTGCAACGCGAAACTAATTCGCGTTGCGATTTCATTTTCGCATTGCGATTCTCTCGTTGCGATTTCATTTCGCATTGCGATTCTCTCGTTGCGATAGTCAATTCCGATTGTGATAGTCATTTCCGTGTTACGATAGTCATATTCGCGTTGCGATTTCTGCATTGCGATAGTCAAATGAATGTCTAATAAGTGATAACAACTGAACATACCATAGCAATGTTCAAACTCAAGTTACTAATACATGCCTAACTGAAAAATGTTAAAAGTTCACACATATATACAATAATACAACGTTTGCATTTAAAAATCACATAAGTTAACAGTTCCAAAAGGTGAAGCCGGTTGTGATTGGGATTTTGATGAGGATCCATATTTGGTAGAGGAAAAGATGATTGTGATGGCACTGGTGATCCACATGTCAACCTTGTATGACCACTTTCCTTGCACCGACTACATGTCGATCTCTTCTTCTCTTCACCCTTAGACGGTATACGATCGTGACTTTTTGGTCGGCCAGGTAGCCTTCTGTCCATGGCTGGTGGCAAAACTGTTTGTAAGTCATCTGGTATGTCCCACTCAGAAGGATGTGGAATAGGGTAGACAATCTCGACATAAGTCTGTCGATATACTTCTGTAGTGTAACAATCCATAGCGTATGCGCTTGAATCATCTTGGTTTAGATGAAAAGCAACTTTTATAACATGGCCACACGGATAACCAGATGTTTGCCATTTCATACAACTACACTTTGCATTTAGATCGACAAGCCATTTAAGTTATTATCCAGTACTTCAAACAAAGTGTTTAAACATGGTTCAACTCTCCATGACATTGACTTCACAACACGTTTCGTTATCTTTTTTCATCCATGGTGTAACACGATGTTCCAATGTTCCTGTAAATTAAATAAATAATACTTAGTAAAATATATGAATAAGTTACAATTTAAAGAAAAATACCTGCATGGTTTCTTTCTTGTAGTACCACTGTTGAATAGAGGCTCGAAAAAACTCCATTAACATAGTAATGGGTAATTTCGGGAATGATGACTTAGAGCGTTGATTAATTCTGTACTATTAGACGTCATGAAACCATATCTTACTCCAAGTTGATGTACTCTTGACCATCTTTCAAACCCGACATCTTCTAGTGTTTGAGCACACTGAGGCAAAACACGTGTTAAACATTTAATGCTTATTAAAATCCACTTCCCGATAAGCTTTTACAGCCTTCCAGTATGTCCATTTGTGATTTTTTATACCAACAGACCTGATTTTAGATTTCTATACAAATGAACACCACAAAGTCCATGAAAAGCATCTGGAAACACTTCTAACAGCGTTGTCAATTGAGTTTGCCCTATCGGATATGATTTTCAGATTGTTAATAGGACCTATGCAATCCCTAAGATGCCCCATAAACCATGTTCATGAATAAGAGGTTTCAGATTTGCCAACCCGTATTGGCAGTATCCCATTGTTAGCATTCATGGCTACTGCTAATAAGTTTACTCCAAGGTATCGACCTTTTAAATATGCTCCGTCACTATAATAACTGGGCAATGCAAGTAATAAACGAACGAATCTACAAAATCATATACAAGAAATATAATCATTTAAATGTGAAATGCATGTAACTAACAAAAATGAGTCAACAAAATTATATTGATTTACTAACCGCAGCACCAATGGCGATAAACATCAACTCAAAGCGTCATCTCTATCTGTTTTGATATGTTACCGACCCAGGATTTTTCAGCTTTAAATATGACAAAGCCGGCAGTTGGGCAAACGATGCTTCTGGCGACCCCTCAACAATTCCAAGGCATAACATTTGGCTCTCCAAGCTTGAGAATATGAGATACTAATCTTGAACCGAGCATTCATGTCAGTCATAATTTCATGTCCCGATATACCATGCCATTCAAAAACATTAACTCAGCCAGAAAACCACCAACACTTTTGTTTGCCTGTCTATAGTGAGGAAAAACTTGGGTTCTTGAACATGTATGTTTATCAATAAAAGTCCTAACTTGAAACATTTCACAATCTTTTATCCTCTTTGCAATCATACGCTACGTACAATTTTTGTCAATCATACACCTGTTTCGAAACGATCTTTGCTTGATTTGTTAACTTTTAGTTGATAGCCATCTTCCACACATTTCGTATACAAAGCTATCTTCAAGTCTTCCTTTGTATCAAAACAATCATCTTTCTTGATACGAATAAGTTTTGTGTAACAATCACTGCTATCTTTACCAACTCTTCTTCCGGTATCTGAAGTAATTCTGGCATATTCCAGTTATACTCCCGTGTCATTTTCTTCGGGGACTTTTCTTTGGGGATTTCTTTTTTTCTTCTTCTTTAGGGTTATATGAATACAGAATGGATGTTCAACATGTTCATTTACAGTCGTAACTTCCTCCTCATTATCATCAACAACATCTTCCTCGGCAACGACTGTTTCATCATCAAAATTTGGGTATTGACCAATATCAAAATCATTACATGCAGGGTCTGTTTCTTCTTCTGAAAAATCATCAAAATCCGAGTATTAACTAAGATCAAAGTCCGGGTATTGACCAATATCAAATTTCGAATACTGACTAGTACTCACAATTTTTTCTGTTGGCTCATCATCGTCTAACTGGTCAATACGAAAACCTAAATTTGGTGCTGAAAGTTGATTGTGATTTAGATTAGGGAAAGTTGTGGGTTTTGAGATTGTGTTTGGTATTGGAAATGTGGTGAAACAATATTTACTGGTGATGAAATTGTGGTGGAACCATTAAATTTTGAGCACCATAAATTGGGGTTAAAAACTTAGTTGATTACTACCCGCTACTGATCTAACTTCACTACTTCTAGGTTCAACAACATACAATGTAACATCATCACTTGAAACACTAATGTAAGCAATGAATCGTTCAACATCTTTATTGTCGGTTAACAAATAAACTTTACCATTTCTCTGATAAGATAGCCTAAATCCACTTAGGGGCTCTAAATTCAATTTATTTGCAACACATAACATTAGAGTTTCATAAGTTAACTTTTTTAATGACAGTTTTAGTTGAAGATTCATGGGTAAAGGCATATATTGTAAAACACCATGAACATTCTCCCATGACCCTCCAAAACACAAATATATCCAAACATGATCAACATTAGATGATTTCATTATTGTAAATTAATTTACTAAACAAACGAGTTGCGAAACTAAAACATGTTGCCGGATGGGGAAGGATGTCGTTGGATATAGAAACAGATGTCGCCGGAGAGAGTGATAGATGGAGATGAAATGAGTTGCGATTTAGGGATTTAGGTTATGAGTTGTTGCGTAGTTATATACCCAAAACATTTGTGTTGCGAAACTAAAACCTGTTGCGAATTCAGAAATCGAGTTGCGAATTTGAAATTCAGTATTGCGATAGTCAGAATCGCGTTGCAATAGTCAGAATCTCGTTGCGATAGTCAGAATCTCGTTGCGATAGTCAGAATCTCGTTGCGATAGTCAGATTCGCGTTGCGATTTACGTATTCGCATTGCGATTTACGTATTCGTATTGAGATTTACGTATTCGCATTGCGATTTACGTATTCGCATTGCGAATTAGGAAAATCGCAATGCGATAGTCAGAATCGCGTTGCGAATCTGGAAACTGATTTGCGATACCGGAGATCGCGTTGCGAATTATCGATCGCATTGCGATTTAGTTGGTCATTTTGGCAAATCCAAAAAAGTTGGTTAAAATCGTATATTATAAGGCATTTTTGGTCACTGATGTTATTTTCTCTATTTATAAATATTTGCAGCCATCTTACATGTTTACTGATAAGTGTCGTAACCATTTTTAGGTAAATATTATTTTAAAACCAGTTATGACTTTGATTTTGAAAATGGGTCGGTTTTTTGAATCGATTGGATTAAATTGAAAAAGGAGTCGCCATCGACCTATGGGTTAGATAGTCGAATACCTAAAAACGTCTTTTAAAACAATTTTAAGAAAAATCATTTTTAAGACAAAATTCGGTTTGCGTTACCAAAGATTCATTTAAATAGATTCGGGAGTCGGTTACGTGTGGGGAAGGGTAAGCACCCCCACAACACCAAAATTGGTACTGTGTCACTTACACATTGTCATAAATGGTGGAAATCATAAATCAAATATAAAGTTAAAAGATGGTCCATTTATTGAACGTTAATTAATTTGCTTCGAATTAATTAATTACATAAAAAATTTTAACTCGAAAGAAACATCGAAATTAGCAATCCTCCATCGGAAAAACTAACTCGACTATTTCTTATCAATAAAAGAATATTCTCTCATTAACAAATATATGAATCGAATATAAATAAAAATCGTCAATTTGAATTCACATACAATAAATTGGGACTTAAAATAACACACATTGCATCATTTGTATCAAATCAAATTAATTAGTAACATGAACTAAATTTATTTCAAGACCAATTTCGTTTGAACGTCATGTCGGATTGTACCACTTCGATCAAGTGATACTTTCCACGCCCGTTCTATAAATACATATTCTTGAAATTTCATTCGAGTGATGGCAAATAAAGGAATTTAAAATCGATAGCTAGAAATAAAAGAATACATTTTTAATTATGTAAATGATCCAATATGAAAATATAAATTGAAATACATAAATAAAACAAGTACATGCGTAACAATAATCTGAATTTGTAACTTTGTTTTATTGACAGTTTACAAAATACTGACATTAATTACATGATTTATATATATATATATATGAAATAATAACTGTAAATAAAACAAAGTTACAAATTCAGATTAAAATGTGCATCTAGAATAAGATATGCTAAAATACAGACAGATCATATTTACAAAAAAATTAAAATATTAAGAAGATATACATATGTAATCTAATCTATATACACTTACATAAAAATATAAATATACATACATAAAAAATAACAAATTAATTAAATAATTTCAGGAAATAAAAATACAGATCATCAAGGATTAACAAGCAATAAACCCAAGTATCAAAGCTTTAAATACATGATTAAAATGAATACTACGCTAAATATGAAAACCAGAACATGAAATCCATAATTTTATATCTTAATATATACGTAGGATCGAAATGAATATTGTGCAAAATCAACAGCCCATAGTATGAACATATAAACAAATAATAGTATACTGATGAGGACTAAAATATAACATAAAATAATTAACGATCTCGAAATAGTAATATAACATTTTTATAAAGTGATCAGAATGCAACTTTTACAAACCAGAGAACCTCCCTGTGTGATTCACCCATGCGCCGATGACATGAAACCCTAGAGCCCAAAACAACGCTGTTTCATCATATATTTATACTACATTAAGGGTTTTAAATCCCTTATTTTCCTATTTGCTCTCTCTCATCCGCTCTCATCTTTTCATCCATACTCTCCCCTTCTCTTCTTCTTCAACAGACTAGGAAACCCAAAAGCCATTGCCCCTTCACCGTTCCGATGAGGGGCTTTCCTTCGGTGCTCAAACAACCCTCCTAAATCCGACAAAGTGTCGATGGCCATTCTTTCCCGAAAGGTAAAGTCTCATTTTCCCTTTTTTCCCTATTTTCTCTCCCGATTTCTTTGCTCTCCTCCTTTGTTTTTGAGTTTGGTTAATATATAATAGGGTAGAGTGTGGCTGTTGGTGTGGAGATGGAAGCATGGTGGCATGGGTAGCAAGGTGCAGGGAACGGTGTAGCATGGGCAGCAGCAAACATAAGGGCATGGGGTGCATGTTGGAGACAACTTCACGTAGGTAGCATGTTAAAAAAATGGTGCTTACAGCTGCCCCTCTTTGCTCATTGTTATGAAACGGGAATGAAGCAAAGATAATAAAAGTACCATTTTTAATCTTGGTCTCTTCTCTTTCAGTCGCGGGTTCTTCTAGAAATGTTGATCCTTTAATCTTGGTCTTCTCTTTCAGTCGCGGGTTCTTCTAAAATGTTGATCCAAGGTTGAACAAGTTATTCTCATTATGAACTTCCTCTTCCTCGTTAGATGAGTTCTTCTAATTATGAACTCTCCGCTGGGGATATCAATCCATTATCTTCTTGATGGTTGACCCAATATGATGCTAATCCAACTACTTATGCGATGGATTTAAGTGAGATAAGAATGTTTGATCCATCTTATTCTGTGATGAAATCGAATGACATGTTGGTGATGTTCCAACTTCGTATGCGATGGAAGCAAGTTAAGGTTGAACAAGTTCTTCTAATTATGAACTTCTTCTCCCTCATTGGATGAGTTCTTCTCATTATGAACTCTCCACTGAAAATGTTGATCCCTCGGAGTGTTGCTATTCAACTCTATATGTGATGAATCGAGCAAAGGTTGAACAAGTTCTTCTCATTATAAACTTCTTCTCCCTCGTCGGATGAGTTCTTCTCATTATAAACTCTCCACTGGAAATCTTGAACCAAAGTTGAACAAGTTCTTCTCATTATGAACTTCTTCTCCCTCGTTGGACGAGTTCTTTATGAACTCTTCGTTGAATGTTGAGCTAAGGTTGAACAATTTCTTCTCATTATGAACTTCTTCCCTCATTGGATGAGTTCTTCTCATATGAACTCTCCACTGGAATGTTGAGCCAAGGTGAACAAGTTCTTCTCATTAACCTTCTTCTCCTCATTGGATGAGTTTTTCTCATTATGAACTCTCCACAGCAATGTTGATCGATTTATATCTCTTTGAAGATTTTTAAACCTGCAAAAGATTATCATATGTCAGTAAATTGTGTTTGAAGTACCGTAGGTATTGACCCAAAGGTCCTCGAATTTTGTTGGAGATCCATTTCTTTTAAAAAAATGAAGACGTGAATTGATTTTTCACTGAAATCTTCTTCTTCAACATGAAATTGTGAAATGAAACCTCTACTAACTTTGGAATTCATGTCAAATATTCAACATCTGGATGAAAATGAATAAGAACTTGTTTTAAAAGAAGCTCTCTTGAGTGAGATAAATTTTATTTCGAGGGAAATCTGTCTCAAGCGACGAAGTTGGTTTTAAAAAAAAACATCTCAAGTGAAATAAAATTTATTGTTTCAAAGGAAAACATAATCAAAGATTTTATGTTGCAAGAGGAATTATCTACAGGGAGACAAAACTGTCTCAAGGAAAACTATCTCAAGAGAGACTAGCTCGTTTCAAGGGAACGACCTCAAAGATTTTTGTTTCAAGAGAAATGTCTTAAGGGAGACAAAATTTGTTTCAAGAGAAATATATTCAAGATTTTTTTCAAAAGAAACTATCTCAAGCGAGACAAAATTTGTTTCAAGTGAAACTGTCTCAAGAGAGACAAACCTTGTTTCAAGAGAAACAATATCAAAGGTTGGCGTTTCAAGAAAAATTGTCTCAAGAGAGACAAAACTCATTTCAAGGGAAACGACCTTAAAGATTTTTTGTTTCAAGAGAAATTGTCTCAAGGGAGACAAAATTCAAAGATTTTTTTGTTTAAAAAAACTATCTCAAGCGAGACAAAATTTGTTTCAAGTGAAACTGTCTCAAAAGAGACAAAATTCGTTTCAAGGGAAACTGTCTCAAGGGAGAAAATTGTTTCAAGGGAAACTGTCTTAAGAGAGACAAAACTTTGTTTCAAGGGAAACAATATCAAAGGTTGGCGTTTTAAGAGAAATTGTCTCAAAAGAGATAAAACATGTTTCAAGAGAAACAGTCTTAAGAGAGACAAAACATGTTTTGAGAAAAACAATCCCAAGTGAGATCAACTTTGTTTCAAGTGAAACAAACTCGAAATTTGTATTTCAAAGGAAAAATGTCTCAAATGAGACGAAATTTGTTTTGAGAAATTTATCTTAAAAGAGACAACTTGTTTTGAGTAAAAATTATCTCAAGTGAGACAAAATTTGCCTCTTTTTTTTAGAGATAATCGTCAAGAAATCCCTGAAAATCAGGCTTAATTTCTGAAAAATCTTTGAAAATATCATGTTGTTCGGGTAACGTGACCCCACATCAAAGTAATTATTCTTCTTGGATTGGGATCCTTAATTCTTGAGGTTCTGCCAATCGAAATATAATTCCTTTCATTCAAGGCTTGAATTTTCTTTCTCTTCTTTCTTAGAAAATCTGTAAAAATATGCTTTGATGCATGCAATATGAATGCAACATGTAATGCATGACTTTCTTGTGTAAAATATCTATCAGTAATCATTTTGACTTCAAAATGGAGATCTCGATATTCTTTCACTCTTGTATGAAGTTGCCCCTAACATCAGCATTGTCAAATAATCCTCTGGAACAATCATGTCCCTCTCATCTTATATCTTTATATCTTGCTTCTTCAATATTCTAGAAGAAGTGTTCCTCCTTTAGATTCGTTGCGATCAGATAGATGACTGGGCACCTTACACGTTTATGACTTGTTTTTTCAATCAGAATTATTTCTCTAGAGTTTTTGGCTAACTGCAGTATGAATGATTCATTTCTCTGGGTAAGCTCTGCTTGTCATCTTTCAACCCTGGCACTCCAAGCGACAGAAATCATTCACCATGTCTGTTTGGTTTGAATCTTGTGATCTTAACGACATCTTGTTTAGATAATACCCCAATGTGGGTACTCATGGCTCTATTGTGCCAAAATCTCCATCTTGAAGGGTCTTACTCTTGTATCGCTAACCAATAATGTTAACGAATAGCTTGAAGGCTTCTCTTTTTGTGCCAAAATCTCCATCTTGAAGGGTCTTACTCTTGTATCGCTAACCAATAATGTTAACGAATAGCTTGAAGGCTTCTCTTCATGATGCCACCATCAGATGGACACTTAAGAAGTG